CATCACCCCCCACCTCCCAGTCGCGTTCAGCCGCCGCCCCATAGCCGCCAACAGCGCCCGCTCCTCGCTCGCCGTCCACGCGGCTCCCCGCACCGACCCCACCCTCTCCTTCTCCCTCTCCCTATCGCCCCTCTCCCTCTCCTTCTCCTTCTCCCTCTCTCCCCTCTCCCTCTCCCTCTCCCCTCTTGCTCGCGGGGACACTTCTCGCGACGACGCCCCCACCGTCGCCACCCCCCTCCCTCCCCACCCGACGGCCCACGGTTTCAACCGCTTCTTCCGTCGCGCCCTCCCTTCTCCTCCTTCCTCAATCTTTTCTTCTACGCGTCCCGTCTTCCTCACCAATAAACCGCCGATGCCGGAATCATCGCTGTCCGCATCATCCACAACTTGCACGCTCCCCTCCTCCTCTTCGTCCCTCCTCCTTCTCTTCCGTCCCCCACCCTCCTCGCCCCCAGCACCCAGACGCGCCAATCTTGCCCATCTCTTGCTGCACCCACGTCCCGACCGTCGAAACCCCTTTTCCCTCACCGCTCTCCCGACCGCCTCCCAATCGTCCACCCCCACATTCCGCACCACACCCCTCAACGCCATGTCTTCGGCCGTCGACCATCGCGCGCGCGACGACCCTTGGTCGTCGCCCGACATACTCCCTTTGTTCTCCTTGTTCTCCGAAAGAGCCCCAGGGCCTCGCTTCCCACTTGCTTGAACACTAGCCTATTCACGAAAACGTTGTGAGAGCAACACCCCCAAAAGCGCCCCGTCCGTGTGCACGGCCCCCTCTCCCCCGCCCGCCCCTGTAGCCTGTTCTGGGTCTCTCCTGGAACACCGCAAATGAGACTTTCAGCTCTACACCGCCTACACGTGTCCAAGACCTCATTTCGCCCTCCCTTATTTTCAAATTAAAAATACCCCATTTCTAATGTCACGGCTTCTCCCACGCTTTCTACTGTTTCTGGAATTCTCCTTGGCATGCAACCACTCGGCTCAGAGGCAAATGACACTATCCTTTCACCCACCCCTCAGGTCAACTGCTCGTCACTTTTCTGCACCCCACCTACTGCTGACTGGACACGCATCCCCGACTGAAGACAGCGCATTTCACGATTGCTGCGTGCATTTGTCCCCGACAACCTCTACCCATTTACTCTCTACACAGCATCAAAGCAAACTGTCAACTGCATGCGGCCCAATCTCGATACGCTTTAATGGATATCTCTGCACTACAACGAAAACCAAATGTCCATCTCAAACCCTCTCTACTGATCCCTCACTCTCTACCCCTGCAAATTCGGTCGCCAGCTTAAATGGTGTGCATCTTACTGGGGTCTACCTTATTCTTCTCTTCAATCGCGTGACCAAGCACCAGTTCCTCTAGTCGGTTCACTTCCGTCATAGACCCAACGAACAGCGGTACGCTCATCTCGAGGCTCCATGCGGACAGCTCCAGCAAGTGCCGCTTGCCAACCGACGCCCGTCCCCCAGCCTGTCGGGCCACAAACGCAAGCGGCGCCGCCTCAGTCAAAAATTTGGCCAGGTCCTTCTTCTGAGGTCCCGGGAGCATTAGAATTCCTCCCTTGGTCAACACGTTATGAAAGTTGGCAACCAAGTTATTCAAATGCCTGAACTTTTTCCCGCTATTGCTTTCTTCCAGTTCATCAACAAACTTGCGTACCCCATCCACGACGTTTGGCAAAACGGATGTGTCGACCGAATACAATGGCCCAGTCGCCGGGATGTGAACATGTTGCCTCGACATCACGAAGTGTCCGGAAACGCCGTCAAGTGTAAACACATGCACTCCGTACCCCATGCTAAACGTCAGACACGTAGACGACCCGTACATGCAGTACCCAGCCGCAACCTGTTCATAACCTGGTCTTTGAAGCAAATCCGCTGTGTCGCCCTCCTTTCCAGGAGCTGATTTGCGATAGTATACCGAAAAGATAGATCCCAGTGACGCACCCGGAACACCGCACAAAGGATTATAAACCACGATGTAGTTACCGACATCCGTCCCTGGTTCCAGGGCCATGGGTTGGTTAGACGTCGAGCTGAAAATCAAGCAACACAACCCAGACGACGCAAGCGACGCGTGAATCTGCGAGTTGGCAAACGATTGCAGAGCCGAAAAGTTGGCGTTGGGCGCATCGCAAAGCTGGGCGCGAACGCACTTGAAAGCCACGCCAAGCTCCGTAATGAGCAAAGAAAGATCGTTAGAACCGTGCGGGAACTTGCGTTGCAGCTCCGTGCAGAAACGCTTAATCGTCATCATGGGCTTGATCGCACCCAACGCCTTCTCGTCGTTGTGGAACTCTGGAGGCGGGATGTGAGTCATGTCCAACCACGAGTTCGAGCGGCCGAGCACGCCATCTTTGGAGTCCGAGTTGGACCTTGACTCCATCTCCTTGATCGAATCATCAACAATGATGCGAGCTTTCTCAGCGGAGGTGAAGAACTTTGAGTCCTTTAAGGTTGTATTGAGGCAGTTGATGTTCTTGTGCGAGATCTGGCCGCTGATAAGCTTTTTCCAGCTTTCATGGCACTCCTCGATGACCTCGTTCGCATAATGCGCTGACTGGACTTGCTCGCGGAAGGCGAAGACGTTCAGATCCTTTCCGTCGGGTACCTTGTAGGTCCTAAACCAGGAAAAGGTGGCGTGGAGTAGACCCGGCAAGACGCGATAGAGATCTTCGATGTCATTCATCTCCTTGGCGAGAGGATCGTTAATGTTGACGACGACGACCTTCCAGTCCATCTCACCCTCGTCGATCATGCCAAGCACACCGAGAACCTTGACTTGCATGACTTCTCCAACACGGCAGGCATCCTTCCCAATTTCACACACATCCAGCGGGTCACCATCTCCCAGGGCACCGGTCTCCATGTGGACCTGGGTGGGATCCTCCCATGTCTGCGGGAAGCAGCCGTAGTTCCAGATATAGCCCTTATAAGGGTAGACGTTGTGAACAAAACGCTTCTTGCCCTTCTTGGTATCCTGGACAATGGGGGCGAGAGGGCTCTTCGTGTGGAGCTCAAGCTTCGCGTTGGTCCATCTGGGGATCTCGCAGACAAAGTTGAAGATGCCATTCTCCTTGTCCGCGTAGAGTGGGATGTCGTGCAGCGGATTGATGACGCCGAGACCGTCCTTGTTGAAGAAATACTTGAAGTCGGCGTTGTCTTTCTCGGATGGATCGGTGACCTGAATGAGGGAGTAGTCATCGATGCTATCCTTTGCAGCGGGGACTGTGACAGGCTCGGCCATTGTGGCGTCGGGCATGTCAAGATTAGAAGTGGGGGTGGGAGTCGGGGTGGTGGGCGGAGGGGTTGCAGCAGATGCGCGGGTCGAACGGGTGGGTGTGGAGTTGCGACGCTTGGCGGGCTTCTTGGTTTGCTTCCTGGAGGTTGCTCGCCGCTTCATAAACGATTAGGACCGAATATCGGCGGGTGCGTCTACTGAGGATAGTGCCTATAAGGGGACGCAGGGAGAGGAGGGGAGGGGGCTGGGTGAAGGGGACAGGAAAGCCGTGGGACCAAGCGAATAGATTACGTGGGGCAATCGGTGGCTATGGGCGGATGTGTCGGAGGAGGACGGGGATGAATGGCGAGTAGACAGGGGCCGGTGTCATGGGCGGTCATAAGGTTCGCGGCGTGGATGGTCGGATTTGCGCTGCCGTCGCCACACGTTTCCCTGCACTTGTCCGATTTTCCCCTTTTTATTGGTGTCAGCCCGTCGTTCTTGCCGATCCATCTCCTCGCTTGACACTGGACCCATACTGTACGGTATATCGTACCTGTACACGTGGCACCTAAAGACAAATGATGTACACGTGTATTGCACTGAAAGCCTCGATGCGCCGATGAACTGACAGGGGCTGATTACGCCACTTGCTCAAGCCTTGCATTGCACTACAGTACCAAGGTACAGTGCACTGTAGTGCAATTACTGTGTGCTGAGTACACAGTAAACAAAATAAACTCGCTACAATGCAGTCATATGCGAATTTCGTCTGGATATTGCCGCACAACTCCAAGTCCTTTTTTGCTTTTCAAAAAGGGGCTTTGGATTTGGATTCCCGCGCGCGCCCTCGAGGGCTGATGCCCCGGTGGCGTCAGGAAACAGTGTCGAAAATGCTTTTATTCGAGATTGGGGGGGTGTATTTATGCAATTTTCGTGCACTGTAAAGCAGTGGTCATGCAATGCTGACTGGTTACTCTACGGTAATAAGTCTGCTATGCCCCAGACCGAGTCAACCTTGTTTTCGGGACCCACATCCCGTCCTGCTTCTGTGTACTTTGCGACATGCATTGCCGAAAAGCTTCCCCAACTATCGTTCTATACAGCACTGCCTACACCCTGCAAACTGCCCCGACGCCACGTAGGCGCAAGAGCAAAAGAGCAAAAGAAGAGGGTCCAAGAAGAGGGTCCTCAGGGGCTCTGAGGACCCTCTTCTTTTGCCCTCACACCAGAGGTCATGTTAAGCCTCAACAATCATCGCAACCGGTATGGGCGCTTGACATGCATCAAAAACATAAAACGTTCTGGATCTGCCGGGCTTCGATCCCGGTACCTCTCCCAATTTGGCACATGATGCTAAGGGAGCACTCTACCAATTGAGCTACAGACCCGTCCGAAATTTCTTGCTTCATTTCACGATCGTGCATGTATTTAATAGCTAAAGCCAGTCTCCCGACGGCGGCCATAGTTTGTTGCTGCCTCTATAATAGCCTGTGATGAATAGAATTGAATCGAGGGGCCTCGAAGGAACTGGTTCTGAAATGATGTGGCCCTGCCTGCCTCTTTCCCTTCCGGAATTGAGAAATCGAGATGTGCTTGCGACAGGATTGGACCGCAATGACGTCATTTTGCATCTGCCCCAACGAGCGATGCTGCAGCACGACCAACCATTGCAATGGTCAACCAATGTTGTTTCGCCGTGCGCAAAAGTATTTCATTGGACGTTTCTACCATATCACGGTCATTTTGTAAGGCAGCGTGCCGTATACTGTACAGTATTTTCTGTGCAATAGAGCTAAACCGCGAGTGATGATGAAATGCGCAAAAATAAATAAAAATAGGAAAATATCACGACTAGGTGCGGAATTAGTGCCATTTGACTTAATCAGTACCCGAATTCCGGAAAAATAACAAGTCAGTGGGGGAAATTCGGAAAAGTAACACATCAGTAGGCGAAACAACCTCTTCATACGCCAAAAACCCTGTGATCAAGGGCGATGATGCCCACTCAGTTTACTGGAGGGGGCGACGACGGGCTTAAGTACTGTGGTGTGGTGTGGCTAAACGTGTCCAGGTGGCTATCGTACAGTAAGTGATGGGTGAGAAAGGAGTTGAGTAGATGAAGGAATGTGGGCCTGCTGAGTGGATGCAGCTTATCGTACAGCAGTCGCCGCACTCGGCAGGTCGCATGAGGAGAGGCGAAGGAGCGCGAGCTGCCGTTGGAAGACGGCGGGTTTGAGCGCTTTGGTTAGGCAATCAGCGGGGTTGGATGTAGAAGGGACGTGAAGGAGAGTGAGGCGTTTTCGGAGGGCTTGTTCTGTTAGAAAGCGGTACTTGATGTCAACGTGCTTCAGCTTGGGCGTGGGGTGGTTCGATGTGGCTGTTCTCAGCGTGGAGACATTGTCCATGCATAGACTTGTAGGCGGAAGGTCGTCGGATTGTGTCAGGTCTTGAATAAGGCGGGGTAGATGCGTGAGGTGCTGAGCGGCATGGAACCCCGCGACATATTCGGCCTCCCAGCTTGATGCGGTAACGAAGCGCTGGCGCTTTGATTGCCAGGAAATGGGAGCATTTTGCCAAATGGCAATGAAACCAGACGTGGAGCGTCGCGTGTCGGGGCAGCCTCCGTAGTCGGAGTCGCAGTATGCACGCATGGGAGCAGGGGATGGGGCGTAGGTGATGCCTCGGTGGGGGGTATGTCGGAGGTATCGCAGGACGCGATGGAAGGCTTTCCAATGGGGCATAGATAGATCATGATTGTAGCGGCCTAAGAGACCGGTTATGAAGGCGAGGTCTGGCCGAGTTGAGTCGGCAAGGTATCGCAAGGAGCCTGTAGTATAATGACCGGCGCGAGCGCGCGGAGGTCATCGGACGGCCGTATACGGTATACACGTGGGCGGCTGTGCCCACGTGTAGCGAGCGCGCGCGCATGCCGAGCGGTCGTAATCTGGCGTACGTGTACGTTAGCACACGTGTCGTCCGTGCGGTAGTCTGTAAGCAACACGCGTGTACAGTGGTGCACACGTGTAGTAGCAGCGGCCGTGCGGTAGTAGCAATTATGGCGCTAGTTTTTTAATTGTGTACAGTACCCGGCACGCACTAGGCGGCAGGTACTGTACTACTGTACTGGGACAGGTGTCCGAGGCGTCCCCCTGCGGGGTTAAGACCTGGCACCCGTCCCCACCAGTAAACGGGGGCAAGCTCGCCCCCGTCCCTTTTGCGCCTACGTACGTCCGTTTCGGTTGTCCGCCGCGCGCGCTGGCTTCTAACCCGTTACCGGTCGCTCCCGTTTACGCACCACGGGGCGACTGCGCGTAACCGGCCAGTGAGCCACTCCCTTTTCGCGAGCTCGTCCGATCGGTTCAATTGGCGCGTCGCGTCCGCGCCGCGTGCTCCCTCGCTAAAGCCTCCGCCTCTCACCCAACCCAGGGCGGAGAGGAGTTATCCCACATTTGGTACTCTTGTGGAGGGGATAACTCTCGAGGTTGAGCCGCACGCGTGGTCGCTCGATCGCGCGCAGAACCGTACGGACGGAAAAGGTTGAGAAATCACCGCGTCGATCGCGAAGCGTATTCGACGATGAACCGACCGGAAGAAGGGGGAGACTCCGCCTCCGGGCGTCTGAGCACCCGCAGTGGCAGTGGCGCACCGCGCCCCCGGGTGGAGAACCCGGAAGCCCTGCTGCGACCGCCACCGCGACCGGGCCGCACGCGAGCGTCCGCATCGGATGTTACGCCGGCCGTCTCGGCAGGCACCGAGAATCGCGTCCAATGGATGGTCGACGCGATTCAGCCGCGCATCCAGGCCTGGGTCGAGGAGTTCCTCGCTACGGAACTCCCCCAGGTAGCGCGCGTATGCCTCGACCGA